CTCTGAAACCATCAGTCCCTTGTTTTCTCCTCTGGATTGTTTATCCCACCTATCTTATCTAGATAGACATGCAGAGACAATACCGAGCACAAAAACAAGACAGAACAAAACAAAACCTAAAAAACCCAAACAATGAAAACAACAACAACAAAAGAAAAGCCTATAAATAGTTCCAGGTCTGTTTGTTGTCCTTTAGGAATGTTTTTTGGTTGGGGCTGATGGGGTGCCACGCACTGGCCAGAAAGTCTATTTTTGGTATTCCCAAGAGACTTCATTGCTTTGCTCCCCTTGCTGCTGTGTTGCATGCCCTTAGCATTTTGCCCCAGTGTGATGGAGTCAGATGGGGCACAATGCCCGCACTGTGTCTCCAGTGTTGCCCCTCATATCATTATGGGTCAGTGGGAGATGTCTTGTCTCCTAGTGGGGCCGGTCCTTATGGTCCTCTCTGCGCATTGGCTGCTCTGAGCAGGAATATTGTTCTTGGGGCTTGGTGGGCCAGGATGTGCTCCACTCTCTCTCCTTCCCTCTTCATTGGCGCCTGTGTGCTCTGATCAGACCCCTCTCCCTGAGCTGTAGCTTCAGTGCTGCCCTCTGTAGTGCATTATTCTGGAAGGGGAGAGGAAGGGTGTCCACATAGTTGAGATTGGGGCCGGCCCTGGTCTTGCAAAATTCTATCATGTGATCCCCAGTTTTGTTTCTATCACCAAGTCCATATTTTTCTAATTACGGTGCTTTCCTCTTTGTTTCCAACTTTTGCATTCCAATCACCAATAATTATCAATGCATCTTGATGGTAAATTTGATCAGTTTTTGACTGAAGCCATTGGTAGAATTCTTCAATTTCTTCACCCCTAGCTTTTGTGGATGGTGTATAAATTTGAGTAATAATTGTATTAATTAGATTTCCTTGAAGGTGGATAGATACAATCCTATCACAGACAGCATTGTATTTCATGATTGATTTTGTCATGTCATCTTTGACGATGACTGTCCTGCCTTTCCTCTGGATTATGTTATTCCTAGCATAATAAATCATATGATTTTTCTGACTCAAAATGGCTACTCCCTGTCCACTTCGGCTCACTAATGCCTAAGATATCGATCTTCATGAGTTCCATTTCATTTTGGACCACTTCCAGTTTCCCTAGTTGCATACTTCACACGCTCTAAGTGCCGATTTGGCAGATTTTCAGCGGTTTCTCCTCACCCCGAGTGGTGCCCCCTCAGCAAATGAAGAGCCCGAACAGTCCACTCCCACGGGCTGTAGCTGACACCCGTCTGTCAACTGGCGACTCTATCCAGAGACATTAGCTCTTCTTTGGGGCCATTTTGAGTGTCCTCGGTCTCAGGGGCTCATCCTCAGGCACTATCTCTGACAATATTTTGCCCCCAGCCACCCTTCTTTACTTTTCATCAACTAAACCTGGGTCACACGCTCAGGCAGTGAGTTTGGGGGGGTTGTGCTAGACAAGGCTCTGCCCTGTTCTAGAATCATCATTCCCTCCCCACCACGCAGGAGTGCCTGGGACTAAGTATGAAAGAATTGGGACGTTCGTGCTGCTTAATCAGAGCAGGTCTCCAGGCGTGGTATTCAGATTCTCCTTGCGTGGTGACTGCAGGGGCTGAAGAGGTGTCTGGGCTGAAGGACAGAGGGCCCGGGCTGAATGCTGCTAAGAGTTCAGCCCTTGTCCCATGAGGGCTGAGGATACTGAGGGCTTTGGCCAGCCTCTTCACTCACCCTTTCCCTCAGCAATGCAGGACAGAACTGCCCAGAGTCCACTTGACCCCAAAACTCATGATGTGTGAGATTCCAACCCCAGGCCTGTCATCTCCTCTTAAAAATGCAAAGACAAGTCATTTTGTGAACCTAGAAATGGTGTTCCACCCATTCCCTCAGCCAATGTAACACATTCACTTAATCAAATAAATATTGAGCATCTACCATGTGCCAGACACTGCACATTGCTGGACCAAATGAATAGTGAGCCTGACAGATCAAGTCACACCCTTCAAGAAGAGACAAAGACAGTCAGCAAGGACAAATACGTGCTGTGTGCGCTCCCTGTCCTTCTCCACATGCCTGCTCCTTCCCAGGTCAAGAAGATGGAGCAAAGCAATATGGAGGCAGTGGGGTAGGGCTCAGCCTGGAAGAAAGTGGAGAAGGTTTTAAGGAAGTGCAGAGAGTGGGGAACAGGGGGTCCCTGAGCCAAGAGAAGAACCTTCCAGGCTGGATAAGACCCTATCCCTGAGACTGTGTGTGGTTCAATAGAGTCTGACTCTCAGTGATCCTGCATGGAGCAGAATTATCCACACAGTTTCCAAGGCTACCATTTCTGCTGGAGCAATATGCTAGGTCACATCTTCCACAGAGGGGCTGCTTGAACTGCTAACCTTTTGGTTTGCAACGGCGTGCTTACCCTTTGTGCCACCAGGGCTGCTTTCACAGACTTCAGGGCCTTAGAAGCCATCTATTGAGGAAGGGAGGGAGAGAGAGAGCCTGGTTTGAAATGCAGACCCTGAATCCAATTCTGTTTCAGTGGGTCTGAAACCGGACCAAGAATGTGCTATTAACCAATAATAAGTAACAAATGGATTGATTCTAAGGCCGGTGGTCTGGGGATTGCATTGTGTCACGTGCAGCACACACTTCAAGTTCAGCATATAACTCCTCAAGATGTCCCCACCCTTCCCTTCCTGATGCCCCAGATTCTTATCCCCCACTCTTCACCTCCTGTCCTCACGCTGGTGAGCACCCAGGTCTTCCAGCGTCTGTCTGCTCTTCTCTACACCTGATCTGCCCTTCCTCACTCTGCCTCGCTTCTCCAAGAGGCCGCATCACATCGCCCCTCCCTTGGTCTCCCATCCAACAAAGGCTCATCATTTAGAAGTTTATTCCAGGGCCATCTCTATAGAAAACTTCCTGTGATCATAGGCAAATGTCTTTACCACATGGATAAAATGAAGAGTGTATGAGACCGTGCATGCATGGTGCACCGTAGGCATGCAGTAAGCAATGCTGTTATCCGGTACCATTGAGTTGGTCCCAACCTATAGTGACCCTGTGTACAAGAGAAGGCAACACTGCATGGTCCAGGGCCATCCTCGCAATTGCCCCTATACTTGACACCTTGGATGCAGCCACGGGGTCACTCCATCTTATTGAGGGCCTTCACGGCCCCCCCTCTTTACCACACAATGTGGCCTTCTCCAGGGTCTGGTCTCCCTGACAATATGTCCGAGGTACATACAACAAAGTCTTGGCAGTAAGTAGTAGGTACTTTATATTGCTGTGTGACCAGTTTCCATCACGCTACAAGAATGAGTTCACATTTGTTGAACTCTTACTATGTACCAAGCACTGTTTTAATTTATACAACTGCATACCTGTCATCATCATCATCCAACTTTTACAGATTAAACGAGGCAAAGAAGAATTAAGAAATTTACCTAGGTCACTCATTAGTGATTGGCAGCACTCACAATTCAGCTGAATGATCAGGCTCCAGGTCCTGCGCCCTTAATTGCCCCGTGTATGCTGCCTTTCATTGTGATGAGGCTCCATTGAGATCACACGTAACAACACTTGAGCGCAGGTTCTGGCAGTGAGAGGTCTCAATAAATACTGGCAACGAAATTGAGTTTAACGGTTGCTACCTCCAAGAAGAGGACTAAAAATTACGCAGCGGCTTTGCTGGTCAGGATGTTCTCATGCTTTTTATTTGATAACACCCAATGCCTTAAGATCCCGATAGAAAACGAAATATTAAAAAAATAATTCAGCATGGCGTTCCACTGAAAGCCTGGTGGGTCCAAAGCCTGTCAATACACTTGAATGGGGTGATGATGTATTTGAGCTTTAGAACGTTAAGGTGGCACAGTGATGCTGGAGAAGGGAAAGGGCACAGGCTGATGGGGTTCCAACCATTCCATTCGTCTGCCCTAAGTTCTGAATCTCTTTCTAAGCTGATTCGGTTGCAGGCATGGCATATAAGGAATTTCCTCCCATAGGTGACTGGGAGACTTTCGCTCGATGAAAGGCTCTTTTCCAACGAAGGTACCACAGAGAATGGAGACCCCTCCATCGCGACTGCAAATTTTGTCCACTCAGTCATTGCTCTTCACTCTCCGTGGAGCTCCAGACACGTTTCAGGGAGAGCAGAGGCCTCTGTGGTCCGGAAGTCTCCATCTGAATTGCACCCAGGAGGAATCCTGTGGCAGGGGTTCTCAGTCTTCCAACGCCGCGACCCTTTCACACAGGTCCTCATGTGGTGGCGACCCCCCCCAACCATAACTTTATTTTTGTTGCTACTTCATCACTGTCATTTTGCTACTGTGATGAGTCGGGTGACCCCTGTGACAGGGTCATTCTACCCCCAAAGGGGTCGCGACCCACACGTTGAGAACCGCTGTCCTGCGGGTTGCATTTCTGCCAGCCAACTTCTGTCCAAGCAAGCTTCAGATCTGTCTCTTTGCATGAAGCTTCCCGTTATTTGGGGGTGGGGTGGGGGTGAGGGGTGAGCGCTCAACAGTCAAGTAGACAACTAGGAAAAGAAGTCAGAACAATTCTACTCACTAAACAAAGACCCAACCCACGCATGAATGAACCCAGACTCGTGAAAAAGAAACGAGACCACCCCAATTGAGTTACAGGGCACGAAGGGTAAGAAGAGTCCCCACCAAATCTGACTAGGCGGCTCTCCGGAAATGGACCACTTTCTGAAATGCTTGTCGAAACTCTTCGTTAAACACCGTGTAGATTACTGGATTGATGAGGGAGTTTAAATAGCCTAGCCAGGTGAAGAAGTCAAAGAGGGCCCGGTGGAGCCAGCAGGCGTCCTGGCAGATGGGGAGGACCAGAGAGGCGACAAAGAAGGGCAGCCAGCACATGATGAAGGCCCCCAGAATGATCCCCAGCGTTTTGGTGGCTTTCCTTTCGCGGGCAGCGGAAATCCGCTTGCGCTCCAGGACGCTATCGGCCAGCTTGATTTTCACGTGGTTGAAAAAGATGGGGGAGCCGGCCGCGTGGGAGTGGCCCTCGTGGAGGCTGGGGCTGAGCGAGCAGAGCGAGGAGCCCGCCGAGCCTGTGATGAGCTGCGCTGTGGTGAAGCGCTTCCCGTAGAGGGATGGCGGGTTCAGGATGCGGTTGCGGGCGGCCCTGTAGATGCGGCCATAGAGGATGATGAGCAGCACGGATGGGATGTAGAAGGCCCCACACGTGGAGTAGATGGTGTAGGAGATCTGGGAGGTGTTCACCAGGCAGTCAGACAGTTCTTCGTGAGCCTTGGCCTGCCGCCAGAAAAGTGGCGGGATGGAGATGCAGATGGAGATGACCCAGACCACGGCAATCATGGCCGCCGCGTGGCCTGCGGTGCGGCGTTTGCTATACTCCAGGGCGTCGGTGATGGCCCAGTACCTGTCCAGCGCGATGGCACAGAGATGCAGGATGGAGGCCGTGCAGCAAGTGATGTCCGACGACAGCCAGATGTCACACAGGATCTGGCCAAAGCTCCAGGTGTGAGTGATGGTGTAGACAATGCTGATGGGCATGACCAAGATGGAAACCAAGAGGTCAGTCATGGCCAGGGAGCCAATGAGATAGTTGGCTGGGGTGTGGAGCTTCCTGGTGAGGAAGATGGTGGTGAGCACGAAGGCGTTGGACAGGACCGTGGCCAGGGTGATGATGGAGAGGACCACTGCCAGCGAGATCTTGAGCGCCTGGAGGGTGCCCGGGTCCCAAGCCTCGCGGCTTCCTGTGGCGTTCGCGGATCTGTTGGGGGCCCCCGGGAGCAGGCCTTCCACGGACTGGTTTGGTGAGGGCATGCTAGGTGGCTCTCTCTTCCCACGTGCGTCCGCACACACAACCACTTCTTTCACAGGGGGCCTGCCCGCTGAACAAGGTCATCCTTCTGTTTCACACCTGGGGGAGCCATTCCTCAGAAAATCGCACCGGCGAAAAGACCTCAAGATCGCTTATTTAAAGAACGCTGCAGGGACCACCGGCTGGTAGCGAAAGGTTTTTCTCAAAGCAAAATGAATCACAAGACGTCGTATTCTTTGTCAAGCCCGGTAGACACGTGCGGAAGTTGTTAGATAATGATCGAGGTAGCGCACCAGGGTGGGCTATGTCCTGAGGTTTTTGATTTTGACATTTTGACTCTGCTGCTTGAGACACAGATATGTTACATGGACATTTCAGAGTGGCCCCCATCCGATTCTGCGAAGACTCTGGCGCTCAGGCTGCCCCCTGGGAGCTTTGAAAAACATGCACTAAAAGGAGGTCACAGCTGATTTCAAGGCGCAGTCCCGTTTTCCCAGGTTCATCTTGACACATGATGAGCTACTTAACGTGAGTTCCTGTCTCACTGGTTATTTTGAGCCTGACCAGACAGAACATTCTCTGTTACCAAGACTTGAAGAATGCATGAGCCAGGGGAAGGCAAAACAGACGGGTCACTGGGAGTTCACCGAGAGAGGGACATCTCCTGAGAGACTCTGGAGTTGAAAAAAAGAAAAAGGAGAAAGAGTTAGGTTCTAGAAAGACAAGTTGGGGACTGGAAATTAACTACCGGAGAACAAGGGGATGGCAGTTTAAGCTGTCAGTGGTGCTGTGAAACTGGCATGCACCAAAGTGTCAGGAGAACTGGCAGACTGGCAATGTGTCCCACCCCCACAATTCCCAGAGGGGACTCAGTATCACAACTGCTGGAAGTTTCACGGACGTCTCCCAAGTACATGAAATGAGCTGTGGGTGCTGCGAACCAGAGATCACCCTTGTCTTTACTCAGCAGCAGTGAAACTGTGTACAGGGAAGAGGCCAGAATGCATTGCTCGAAATTGTGCTTGAGTAGGGGGGTGGATGGGATTTTCTTCTATTCATTTGATTTTTCCAATATTTAAAAACAAACCAACATAAACTACAAAAAAGATACAAATACTATGCACGGGTGTGTGTGTGTGTGTGTGTGTGTGTGTGTGTGTGTGTGTGTGTTTGTAGCTCTGAGCAAGAAGAAAAGGAAGCATCTTTTAGCACTGGACCTTAATTGCCCCTATTTGAACACTTCAGAGAAAATGAACAAGCTCTTCCTGTGGAAACTGAATGAGAAGATGCCCGTGCACGGACAAGCCCATCCAGTTGCCTCTCTTGCTGCGAGTATTTCTTCAGCAGAAGCACCTTCTTGGCGTCCTCTCCATTGTATTTCTTTTGTCATTGTGGAGAACAGGCAGAGCCAGACGGACATGGCTCCAGCATTTTCTCCCTGTGCAGGCAGACACACGGATGACATCATTTCAGTGGGGCAAACACTCCCCGTTCCCTTTTCTGCATTCTTCCTCCTTCGTTAACACCACCTGGCTGCCCTCTGAGGTTCCTATCTAATCTTTCTTGTTGTTATTCTCAGTCGGATCGCCTGTGGATAGCTCTTAAAAGAGCATGACGCTCACCCCAGCACAAATAGCAAAGTTCAACAAACTGGAAAACACCAGATGCTCGCGAGAGTGTGGAGAGACGGAAAGTCGCAGACACTGCTGGGGGGTGGGGTGGGGCTGTAAAAGGGTGCAGCCACTGTGGACCGCCCGGCATGTCCTTCAAACACGGGACCTAGAAACGCCAGATGAGCTAGCAATCCCACCACTAGATAAAGAGCCTCTGCAATAAGGGTCGAGACCAGGGACGTGACTAGCCTTGGCACCATGCAGAGGGCATTGGAAAGGGGACCAGGTGAAAATGAACCCCTTACCATTGGATCTCCCTTTCGACCCATTTGAAAGCTGTTCTAGTTTTAAATATTTTCTCCTGGCTGTTTGATGGCGATTTTTTCCCCTCTATTTTATTTTGCAATTGTTTTACATCTTTTTGTGTGTGCATCTTTTCCAGTATATTAAATCTAGGATAGATAAATCTACAGACAGTAATTTGATTAATGGTTTCTTAGGTGGGGTGAGGTGAGGGGGAGAGGGGGAGCTAATACAACGAGGATAAGGAAGAGAACCTTCTAAGCTTGTACAACTCTTCTCGATCCGTATGAACTATGTACGTGTGTGTACGTGTCCCGCCATGGGAAAGGAGGGTACCCCGAGCCAGGGGCTTGTGGAAAGGAGGGCTGTCCGAAGGACGGCTCAGCATCTCTCTCCCTCCCCACTCCTAGCCTTGACCGCTGGCCCTGCCCACTAGGTGGGTGGAGAAGAGGGCAGTGGGGGTGGGAGAAACTGAGGGAAAGATGTTGGTGGCAGTAGTATTAGTGGCTCAGGAGGGCCAGGGGATGTCCTCCTTTTTAGGGTCCTTGTGTGGGCCTTCATTTCTGACCCCCAGCAGGGTCCTCAGCCCCACACCTCAGGCCTGGGGTCTTTTTAATACTCTGTCCAGGTTCCTCGTGAACTTTCTCCACACTTAGACTCCCAGCACCATCCCCTCTCTGGGGCTCACCCACCTTCTCAGCTCCTCAAATACTCACTGGACCTGTATGCGCCAAGTCCTGCAGGGCTCACCTCTCCATTCATTACCCAGAAACTCGTATCCACCTTAGTGGCCAGTTACCCTGGGTTACCGTCAAATCCCTAGCATCCATCTTCCCAGCCTGCTAAGTTCCACCCCCATCGATAAGGACAGATTGATAGATTCTGATTCTGCCTGAAGGGCAGAATCTCTTCCCTCCTTCCCCCAGTCCTCAGGTAACAGACTCAGGTGGGAGGAGACTGTGGGACGGACCCTCACTTCCCCTTCTCCAAGAAAGGTTCTGGAACGACTAGGCCCGAGTTTTCCAATCTTGGTCCTGATGGAGGGACCTGGTGTTTCCTTGCCATCCTCCCCCTCCTCCATGGTGGACCCCCACACCAGGGCCATCACTGGCCCTCTTCAGGGATCCTAGGATCTAACACAGTGGTTCTCAACCTTCCTAACGCCGTGACCCTTTAATACAGTTCCTCATGCGGTGGTGACCCCCCAACCATACATTATTTTCATTGCTACTTCATAACTGTGATTTTGCTACTGTTATGAATCGGGCAAGCCCTGTGAAAGGATCGTTCAACCCATAAGGGATCGCGACCCACAGGTTGAGAACCGCTGGTTAACATCATAGGCCCAACTCTCCCTCTCCCATCTCCCTAGGCCAGGCCTTGATGCGGTTAAACTATTCGATTCCATGATATATGGATCATGTGCCAATAAAACTGTTTTTAAAAAAAGGGTTGGAACACTAACAGATCAATGTAAAGCCACGTTCGATGCAGCATCACTCACAATACTGAAGAGATGGAACAACCTAAATGCCCACCAGTGGACGGATGGATGAGCAGACTACGGCACAGACACACACGATGGAATACCATGCAACATGAAGAAACGACGAAGACTTCACGGAACACCGGGTGAAAGTGGAGGGCCTGCGGGAACGAAGTCAAACACGAAAGGAGAAACACTGTCTGAGTCCACTACGGTAACCAGTCTAGGAAAGGCTTCCTGAGGGAGGAGACATTCTTTGATAGTTACCAGGAATGGGAGGGAAGGGAAAATCACAGATAATAAAAACCAAATCCATGCCGTTGAGTTGATTCAGACGCATAGTGAGCTAGATAAAAGTTATATATCAGTTTAGGTGACGGGAAAGGCAATGTTCAATAACGGATGATCGGCACAATATTACCAAAGAACAGATACAGAAAGGCGTACGAAAAAGAAAGGATAATACTAAAGGTAGACTTTTTTACTAATTAAATTATTGCTTAGTTTTAAAGATGATTTCAGGGGTATTTGGGTTTAAGGTTTAAAGATTATAGCAGGGCAATAGGTTAAGGGGCTTGTTTACTCTCTGTGGCTCCAGAAAGTCTAGAATCCATGAGAATTTGAACTTCTGTTCTTTATCCCCCTGTACCTTTTGATTAGGATTCTTCTATGGACTCGTTGAACGAAATGTTCAGTAATGGTAAGTGAGCTCCATCCCGTTCTCTGGTCTCTTGACAAAGGAGGCAGTTGTTTATGGGGGCAATTAGCTATGCATCCTCCTCCTATTCAGGACTCTCTCATTCTCTGCTGCTCCAGGTAAACATAGACCCATTGTTGGGCCTGGGATGGCCTCTCACAAGCATTAGAGATCCCAGGCACTACACATTGAATTAAGAGGTAGAACAGAAGTACCAAACATATTATTAGCTCAATTAACTAGGATGGCCCATGCAACCATGACGCTTAACCTCCAAACCAAGGCACCAAATCCCATGAGGCGTGTGACAGTTACATAATCTCCTGTCAACTTGAATGAAGGGACCTGTCAATCAGGTTTCAGCTTGATGACTCCATCAATGGAGATAAATGCTCACTGGAGGCAAAACCCACTCTCTCTGTCTTCCCTTTCCTGCTGTTGAGACATTCAGAGAGCTGGAGGAGACAGGTGTAAACCCATGCCAGTGTTGAGATGCTTCCACTGCCACTGGATCCACAAGACTTTCTACCCACTGGCCTGTGATCTTCCTGCATTCGGCATCATTGCATGTGCTGCGTGAGTCTAAAGAGGAATTTAGGGGCTAGTATCGGACATGTAGGCTAATATCAGACCTATGGAAGACTTGATCTGGACTGGGCTGGGATGTTTTCTCAACATACAATTGCTCTTTTTATATAAAGCTCTTTCTTATACACCTATGAGGGTCTATGAATTTGTTTCTCTAGTCAACCCAGACTAACACAAGGTGTTTGTACAGAAGCAGTCTCGGCTGCTACTTATTTATTTTACTTTTTTTGCCTTTGTTGTAACTCTATTAACACAACCTTTGTCAACTTCAACTTTTTACAGGTATAGAACTTACAACTTATCGACAGCAATAACAATCGACTGTGATCCTACCCCTAATCCATGGGACTTTTTGTCATCGCTAACCCCAGTTGTCCCCCTC